GTTCTGTTGATGGCTCAAAACCTGTTAAAATGATATTAATCACTGCGTTTGGTGCACACATACATACACACTCACTTTGTTTATGATAATATATAGTTAACATTTACTAAGTGCTAATTATATGCTATACACAAGCCCAACCTCTTTACATGACTTAATGTATTAAATTCTCAGAATAGGGAGGTTTTGCTGATCGAGAAATAGAGGGACAGAGCATTTAAATAACCAGCTCAAGGTCACAGATCTGATAAAGGGAAGAGCTAAGCTTCAAACTCAGGCAGTCTAACTACTGAACTAATGTTCAAACTACAAACCTTCTTTCCTTCATGTCTTTCAACATTCCATTTCCCATCTGTAACCAAACATGGAACACATCAATTTCTTTTGTGGGCCCTAACATCAATGTAGAGGCTGAGATAAATATTGATTGGCTGCTGGGTGACAGAAAAGCATATTGTGGATAGAGGGTGGTGGAAAGTTGTTTGATTTCAGTACTCTGAAAAATAAAGTGTGTAGCTCTGAAAGACGGGAAAGATCATTAATGTTTTGATGGTTGGAGAGAATACAATGCTACAAAGTAAAGGATGCTACTATGCTCTTCTGGTAACTTCAATGGTCTGGAGTTCCGATCATGTCAAGGAAGGGCAAAGGGAGGAGCCAACCACCAAAACTGATGTCTGGCACATAAAGTCCTTTGGTGGTTTCTGCTCTTTTATCTTACATCCTTAACATCCCCATTGCAGATTGTCTTGTGTTTTTTTTTACCTTAAAATTAGCTTTGAATGTATTTTATAGGCAAATATTACAATCCATAAGAATCTACAGAAAATAAGTATTTTGTAAGTGGAGAAACAGTTTGAATAGGTAATTCACAAAAGAGGAAATGGACAATAAACTTTAAAATATATTATAAGAAAATGCAGATCTTATGAAATAATTGAATATTTTTTATCATTAGATTGGCAAAGCAAAATTTTTATAATGTATTTATAAAAGGGTATGGGCTAACAAAAAGGTGTCATAGGCTTCATAAAAATTGGGTCAGCCAATCTGGTGGGTAATTTTCTCAGCACCTATTTAAAATTTTAATGCAATTAAGCATCTCAGTATCTACTACAAGAACATATAAAAATTTTAATTTTTATTTTTTTTATCAGAGAGACATCTACCATTCAGAGTCTTCTTTCAATCTACCCAACTAAGGGAGTAGAATTTTAGGGGAAAAGCAGAAGTGGAGCTTGGGGTAGTTCCTTTGGTTGACTTACAAAATCCCCCTTCTTGGCATTTAATGTGCTCTTAGCATGAAATTTAAGATAAACATGACTTCAAAAAAGAAAGCAGAGCAATGAATTACATTGTAACATGTGTGTTTGCAAGGTCATCTGGTCTTTAGGGCTCTGTCCTGCACAAAAAATGGAAAAGCAAAACCATTCTGTGGCCCCTGGGGCAGGAGAAATGATTTGGGGTGAACTGTCCTTTCTGACTTGAGAGTCATCTGAGGCAGGAGTCGTTAGGAACTTGACCGGTTCTGATTCTGGTTGCCTAATTCACAGTGGTGAATTAGGGTGGCAGACCAGTTTCTCTGCCTCCACTGAGCAGGGCAAGCTGTCAGCAGAATGCTAAGTGGCTATCTCAGTGGCGATGATTGATTCGCAGAGATGACACAGATGTGACCGCCTCAGTCAAAGTCAATGTTTTCTTGGCCCTCAAAATTTCAAAAACCCAAAAAACAAACAAATGCAAATGAAAAATAATGACAAGGCCCACATAGCACCCCAGAGTCATTTGGCTCAACAATTATGAATGCCTCCTAGGCTTCCAGCACCCTGCTAGGTGCTGATAGTGACATAAAAATCATCGAAAACTTAACTCCTGTTCTTTATGACATTAATAAAGTAGCCAAAGTTATGTAGTTTTAAAGATCACAGAGTTTAGCATTTCTTTTGCCATCTAAATGCTGCTTCTTAAACACTAACTGACAGACATAAACATGCCTTGTGCATAATCTTTTTATCTAGAATGCCCTTTTCTTTATCCACCTGGAGAACCTCCATATAATACAAAGTCTAGCATGACTGTCACCTTGATGGCATGAAGCTTCAGTGGCCGTGCACACACTGCAATCCTCATCACTTTCTCTGTGCATCCTTTAGACCCCCATCTACACCATTGCAATTCTAGATGTTATTCTATAATAAGTATCCGGGAGGGGGGGGGGGTGTCTGAATCCCCCACTCCGGGGGTGGGGAGGCCTTCTTTGGTTGAGTTTCTTCTAGACCCTGGCTGTTTTTTAGAATCATCTTTAGATATATTATGGGTTGGTTTGTTTGATTTTTTTCCTATGAGTGTTTTAAAAGTTCAGGTTTCAAACCAGACCCATTGGTTCAGAATTCCCAGGGTATTGACCTGCACATCTTTATTTTAGTTTACTCTCCACAGGTGATGTGGACTTAAGAGTCAGGGCGGAGCCGAAACCGGTTTGGCTCAGTGGTAGAGCATCGGTCTGCGGACTGAAAGGTCCTGGGTTTGATTCCGGTCAAGGGCATGTACCTTGGTTGCGGGCACATCCCTGTGCAAGAGGCAATTGGTTGATGTTTCTCTCTCATCGACGTTTCTAGCTCTCTAGCTCTCCCTTCCTCTCTGTAAAAAATCAATAAAATATATTTAAAAAAAAAAAAAAAAAGAGTCAGGGCGCAAAAGCACTCACTGTGCCCGATTCCTTTTTATAGCTCCAGTGCCAGGAACAATGCCAAGCACACAGCAGGTGCTGAAGTCCTGCTCGTGGATGGAATGAATTACTCACATCCACTGTATGTCTCTTTGTAGGTAAATATCTAAACTATACATGACACCATCTTGCTGGGGTCAACGTGGATGTTTTTGTAGGCTTCTCTTAAAGATGTCTCAATTTCTACAGCTACATTCTTTGGTTGGTCCCAGTGCTTTAGTATTCAGATAAAGGCAGTGATCTGAGGGGGAAATATTTTCTTTTGAACAGTAAATGTATGAGGTTTTACAATACACAAGCTTTAAAGGTAGAAGGGATTTGTTGCCAAAATGTGACAAGGAAATATAGATTAGTTGTAAAAGGCCTCCCTATATATTCATACGCATGTCCAAATTCAGACTAGAAAAAAAAAAATCCCAAGAAGTTATCTAGTTTAAGGTCTGTGACCAAATTTCTAACTGCTCAATGGAAAGTCACACATTCATATAACATACAAAAGTGGAACTTACTATATCCTTCCTACACAGCTCCTCCTCCATATTGGAGGTAAGAACTAAAGAGTAGATGTTAGATGGTATTATTTGATCAAGGATTTAGAATGAGAGAATCTGGCCTTTCCTCTTGCCTTCTTCTCTTCAAGGAGAAGTATCCACTCAAAGAATAATAGCCAAATATGAATCAAAATATATCACTAACATCTAAGTCAGGATCCAATAACCCAGTGAAATGTTTCCTGGTTTAAAACATATTATTGGGCTAGAGTAGGGGTGTCAAACTCAATCAGAGAAGGGGCCAAAATCTAAAATCCAGCCTAAATTGCGGGCCGAATGGTTTACTGAACAGTCATAAACTGTCATTGTGATGGAAACGCAGCGGAGTGCAGTGATGACAGCGCGGTGCGGGCCACATTGCAAGGCCTGGCGGGACGGATTTGGCCCGCGGGCCTTGTGTTTGACACATGTGGGCTAGAGAATGAAGTGAGCCATCATTTCCTTACTACAATTTAAGTTTAAATCTTAAAAGCTGGACATTCAGTTCACCCTGTGTACATTAATGTCTGCCTTTATATCCCCATTGTCACGGGCATAACTCAAGTTCCCTGGGAGAAAGGTCTTTTGGCAGGCCAGCCCACAACTGTATCCATTCATTCAGTCTCCTCTTTCCTTAGCCAAACTCTGTGGAAATGGTACAAGTTTCCTGCTTCCCAGAATAGGATCCATTAAGAAATACTGTCAGTTCTTCACTTTTAAACTCAGAATTTTTTTCATCTGACTCTTTTGAATAACACAGTCTTGTCCTTTGCATGCAATTCTGAAATAATGGCTCATTCTCAATGCAGATTATTTGGTCAAAAAGATCATAATAACTATGTATGGGGCTAGGTGGGTACTTAAAATATTGGTGGGGGGTGTGCTCTGTAGAGTACATGATTGGCTAGCCACTATGCAGTACATCTGAAACTGACAGAGAATCACAGTGAATGTAAACTGTATTTGAAAAATAATAATAAAAGAAATAGCCAAAAAATAAAAGTGTTCAAAGATAAAGTATAGATGAGATTTTTTGATAAAATAGGTCTAGGTTTCAGCTACTTTCCAATATGGACTTGTTTATCTCTCCTGTTTCAGGTCCTTAAATTCACCCCCTCACGCGAGACCCTCCAGCCACAAGGTCCTCCCTCCATTCCTCAAACACACCAATTTCATTCTTCAGAGTTTCCAGTCATGATCTTGCTTCTCCAAAAACCAGCTCCCTTCTACTTTCATTTGCTTATCATCTGATTTTTTTTGTTGTTGTTGTTGAGCTCTCAATTCAGAAGCTGCTTCTTCAAAGAGGCTCTCCATTGACCTCCCCCAATCTAAGCCAGCCTCTTTTCTCTTGTTATCACTTGCCACTATTTGTATTACATTCTTGGTGGTATTTATTAGTGCAATGCCTGTCTCTCCCACAAAAGGGAAAGAACTCTATGAAGGCAATGGCCATATCAGCTTGGTCCACCAATGCTCAGTCCATAGCCGGTCTCAAAAAAACATTTTTGAATAAATAAATAAAAGACATGGTTAAGGTACTTAACGTGTATGAGCCTATGTCCTTATCTGTATGGTATTAACTACAACTTCTCAAAGTTATCATTAGAATAAAGCTAGGTGATAAATGGCCCAGTTGGACAATAATACTACATAAATATTATTCAAGACCTTATTAATTTTTTGACTAAATTATTCTCCATGTGACTTGAAATAAGTAATCTGCCTTTTTATGTCTTCCCATTTTCTTTTATTAATAGATCCAACCATATGAAAACTCTTAAAAAGCAGTAAATTTTATAATTTTGCATTTGCCCATGATTTTTATACAGAGAAGTACAATATCATTCAATAGTTTCAGACATAATACAACAGAACTTATAAGCAAGATGGAACAAGGACATTTCTACCCCATTTAATTAACAGTGATGTTGGTAGATGGGGATTTCAAAAGAATTGCCTCAAATCAAATTACAACTTGGTGGGAAAGTCAAATTCTTTTGAGGTATTTGGCCTTCAGATTAGCTTTATCTTTGACTTGGCTCTTCTTATTTTTATTTCTCCAGTTTTTGGAAATTGTTGTGACTTTCCTTGCCACAGATTCCTGCTCAGACTTCCCTTAGTTCAGTAGTCGGCAAATTTATTAGACAACAGAGCCAAATATCAACAGTACAACAATTGAAATTTCTTTTAAGAGTCAAATTTTTTAACTTAAACTTCTTCTAATGCCACTTCTTCAAAATAGACTCTCCCAGGCCGTGGTATTTTGTGGAAGAGCCACACTCAAGGAGCCAAAGAGCTGTATGTGGCTCGAGAGCCGCAGTTTGCTGACCTCGGCCTTAGTTCATCTCGACCCACTCATCCTTGGGCTGTGCTGTTGAAGGGCGATGTACTATTTAAGGCCTATAGTTACAAACAGTTGTTATTTCAGCCCCAGTTAGAAGTGGCCCACACATATATTCCTGAAATGGAACAGAGCTACTGATGATAATCAGTATTGATTAGTGAATCTACATGCATCTAATTCATGGTTGGATGGAGCTAAATAAAGAAGTATAAAATGTGCATTGTACTGTATCATCAGTTTCTCAAACGTCTTCCTTTGGTTCCTTATTGTTTATGTTCCAGGAACTACAGAGCATCATGTAGTGACCTATCAACTCAGGAAGCTGATAGTCTGACTGAACTAGTCCTGAGGTTCTTCACAGAAAAGGCAGCCGGGGTCCTGGTCGGCAGGAGATTCCATCTGAATGGTGAGTGAATGCACAGGAAAGCTATTGCTGAGGGCTTTAGCAATCTCTCTCTGAATGCCCTGGCTGTCCCGACTGGATGCTGTTGAAGAGGAATCATAGTGAGCTTGACATTGATTGCGCACAAATAGGCAACTACTACATCTCCAGCTTCAAGTACTTGAATGGGTGGGGCACAGGCCTAGTGCTCAGAAGGAGCCAGGTTGGCTCTGACAATCAACTACATCTACACAGACAATGTGTGTGTGTGTGTGTGTGTGTGTGTGTGTGTGTGTGTGTGTGTGTTTAGGGGACAGGGGAGGGGGCTTAGTGCAGCCAAGTACCCAGACACTATAGAAGCTCTTCTTCATAATTATCTCTGGGATCTGGCACTCCTAGGAGCTGAGTATGAAAATGGAAATGCACCCTGGAAAAAGCCAAGACAAAACTGTTATTTCTTATACAGCCTTGCTCACCAGTCCCCAGGGACCTCTGGGTTGCAGCCTTATATCTAACCAGAACCTATATTAAGGCTAGTGACAGGAGGCAGGGAGCATTTAGGGCTCCCCACAGACCTTTCTTAGAGCAGCAACCCTCACTCCATCTTTTCTCTTGTCCCCAAAGGTATCAGGAGGCTGTAAAATTCCCTCCACAGTAACATGATTACTAGGTTCTTCCATTTGCAATAAAATATTAGTGTTGTGGATGCTATAAATTCCCTATAGCCAGATCTGAGCCGCTCGGCAAAGATCAGGTTGTCTGAAAAAGCAAAGTCCTCATATGACTGTCACTGATGTTCCTGTACCCTGAGTCTAAATAACTTCCTGAGTTACTTTCTAGCAGCCTCATGTATCTTATTGGCCTGTCTCCTGAGGCAGAGAGACATCTCCCACCACTGAGTTTCTCAGCTCTAGGACATAACCTAGACAAAATCACCTACTTGAGAAAGCCATTTTTAAAATAAATCCAATTTCCTAAAATTATTTCACATGGTTATAGAATTTCTAACCACCCAGTTAAAAAAAAAAAATCACCATTAATTTTTACTACCAAATTTTTTAGGTTGTTAAAATGTTAAGGCCCAGCCAGCGTGGTTCAGTGATTGAGCATTGACCTAGAAACCAGGAGGTCACAGTTCAATTACCAGTCAGTGCACATGCTCAGGTGTGGACTCAATCCCCCATGTGTGGGGCATGCAGGAGACAGCATATCATTGATATTTCTCTCTCTCTCTCTCTCTCTCTCTCTCTCTCTCTCTCTCTCTCTCTCTCTCTCTCTCTCTCCCTTCTTATCTGAAATTAATATATTTAAAGAAAAGGAAAAAAGAACCCTAAAGATGGAACCTGTGTATGCTTCATCTTTCTGTCTTCAGTGAGAGGCAAAGCATGACAGGAGATACTCGATGAAGATTTATTGTTGAAATCATTCCTATTATTTAATTGTTTGAGTTCCAAGCCAACCAGGTGAAGTCTAATATTCAGAACCTAAGGACTTCAAATTTGGGTGGCATTCTTCCCCCTTTGTCCTACCCTCTTCATTCAGCTACTAGGCATATCATTATCATTGTTGCCATGACAACATTGACAAGGGGTGTGGTTTTCAAAGGCCCTTGGTAATATTGTACAAAGTACTTCACAGTTGTGTAGACAGGCATCAGCTACTAAGGGCAGCTCTACAAAAAGGAGGGAAATTGCTGACTTTACAGAACAAGGACTGAATTTTGTCCAGTCTTACTGACCTGCAACAACATGAGCCGAGAGAATCACCTGGTTGGTTGTTAAAGACCAGATGTGCAAGCTGTGCACAGACACCACGCCATCTACCGCTAAGATGAGCTCTTTCACAGCATTGTAGTTGAGGTTCTTTGGCACACCTGACAGAAGGAAAGAATGGGAGGCTATTGTTACTCAACTGAATATAGCTCATCGAGATGGCCAATTGGGTCTGCAAAGTCCTCACCCAAATATCAACTTGTGCCCTTTTCATTTATGGAATCTTATCTCAAATGTTTGCAAATCAGATTCCCCTATTGCTAAGGGTTTACCATTACTCAGAAGTTCACAAAAATTTTTGAGATTTTACTTATGCAGTAATCAACCACAGGGATCATCATTCATTTGTGGATGTGTTATTAATCCAGTTGTGCTTTTTCCAATGATCTTTGCATACACTCCGGAAGTAAAATGAAATAACATGGGATTTGGTATCAGATAATCTTGGGTTAGCATTCTGGCTACAACTATTTTGAATACCTAAATCTTGGAACTTCTCTGATTTTTAGCATCATTTATAATAAAATAAGGGTGATAAGAACAGTATATAGTTCACAGAGTTCTTTGAGGAGAATATCAGAAATTAACTGTCCTTTGTATACTGTAATGCTACACAAATGGGAGCTATCTAACAGTTAACTTTAGTGAACTGTTTTAATAGGTGACCCTAATATTGTAAAACCATTTTATTATTGTTTGTAAAACTTTTATTAATTTAGGTAATTAGTGAGGGTTTTATTCATATCACAGAGTAGGATAGTTTGAATGTCATCCTTATTTCTAAAGGAACAGCAGGATCGGGGGACAGGCAGCCAATCAGCTATTCTCTGGGCCTGGAGAAAAGCAGGTTAAGAAAGCAGGATCGCTTTTTCAAAACATTGCAAGGATTGTCATATAGGAGGCTAGATGGTGTGAAAGTGTGAGGTTGCTTGCATTGGCTAGCTACAAGTGGAGCCAGTGGTTGGTTAGAACTGTAAAAGATATCAGTTTGATATAAGAATTTTTTAAAAATCAACTTAACCAGCACAACAATGGGAAAAGCCATTGGGTGCAATAGTTAAATTCCCATCAACAGAAGATGATCCAAAGAGAATACTATAGAAGAGATTTCTAAGGCTGACCCCCTTTCTGCCTCTACTTTAACCATATATATATACCAACCATATAAAAATAAATATGCTTCAGCTGCATGTCCATCCTTCTGAAGAAGATTTCTGTGAATGAGACTCTGAAACCTACACTCTTCCAGAGCTTCTCTCAACCTTGGACACACATTAGTTTCATTGGAGGAGAATTTAGAAGTCCTGATGATCAGGTTGCACCCAAGATCAATTCAATCAAATTCTTTGGGGATAAGACTCCACCATCAGTATTTCCATAGCTCACATGATGATTCTAACACACAGCTAAAGTTGAGAACCATTTCAATTCTATTTACAAGTCACTGGATAGTGGTTCTACTTTGCAGTTTTCAAGCTTGGCTACATATTAGAAAACATCAAAGCCAGTCCCCAGCCCAGTCACTAGTATTATATCAGGATCTCTGGCTGTGAAGCTTGGGCATAAGTATTTTTTTTAAAGCTTCTCAGATTGTCATGAGCAGTTAGTCAAGAAGCATATACTTAAAAAAAGGGGGGGGGGGGAATCCTTAACCCTCCTTTTTTTTCAGTATTTAAGAGCCTTCCTCTTTGAGATTTTCTAGTTAGGTCTAATTTAAAATTCTCTACAATTTGAGTATAGTTTAATCCCATTTCATATTATTTCACAGAGGTAAAAAAGAGTTGGTCAATATGGAATTTTACTGACTGAGCTGCACAAAGCTCAGAATAGCAGAAACAAATTAGTGGTATGTGTTTTTTTCCTCAGATTAGTCATAGAATGTATATGCAGTCATGGGTGAGGCTATTGTATTATAGTAAAAATAATAATGACATAGCTTTGTTGAGAACCTATGGTAGGTCAAGGCTTATGCTAAGCACTTATTTATAACTAGAGGCCTGATGCATAAAAATTCGTGCAAATTCTCCTGGCTGCCAGCACTGCCTTCACTCCAGCCTGGAGCCACCTTTCTGCCTTCTCTCAGGCCAGAGCCACCTTCTACCTCTCATCTTGTTGTGTCAATTTGCATATTCTGTCCTTATTGGCTGTAGGCACCACGATTTTTGTTGTGGAGTTATGGTCAATTTGCATTTTCCATCTTTATTAAATAGGATAATTATCTTATTTTAAGATTTACAAGAACCTTACGAGCTAGTTTTATCAGTGCTCCAATTCCTATTTAACTGGAGGAGAGGAAATTGGGAGACAGAGAGGTTAAAAAGCATTGCTAAGGTCACATAGATAAGTGGGATGTGAGGGTCTGCAGTTCATGCTCTGAGTGTGAGGTGTTATGAAAATGCTAGACTCGAGGAATTGCAACCAGAAGTTGACTATTATGCTAGTGTGCCATCTCTGCTGAGTTTCATTTGGCTCTTGAAGACCTGCTATCATTCATCTAGAACCCTTATGTTGAAGTCATGATCCCATTACTTTTTGTCTCTCTTGCCTCATTTATCTCCCTATGCTTAAGATGAACACAAGTCCACTACTACTTATTTTACCCCATGAAATAATGTCAACAAGCATGAGGCTATGCTCCCACTGAACTCTGTGCTACATCACATTCTAGGGACCATTTTTCCCGACAGAAAGCCTGCAAAAATATTAATGCACCCAGGAAAATACTCAAGTTAGTATTTAAAAAACAATTTCCCAGGTTAATAAATATATGAAAAAAATCACTCAATTATAGAATTGCATATTAAATTAATAAGATAAAATATTTCACCAATCAGATTAGGAAAGAAGAGAATCAGCAGATTGATAATACCCCATGATGGGGAACATGTGAAGAAATGGGCACTGTTATATTCTATTGGCCAAAGAGATGTTGCAATAGTTGTTTTGGTAGAAATGATCATATCTGTCAAATTTCAAAATACAAAGAACTTTTGAAACAGAAATAACATTTCTAGGAATTATTCCAAAGATGTACAAATGCTAAAAAAAAAAAAAATATAAATGCACAGGAGTGTTAATTATGCCATTAACATTGGCCTTCAATAAGCAAATAGATGCATACAGTGGAATAGTTTATAGCTATGTAAAAAAAAAAATGGGGTGTTTCTATGTATGTACTTAAATGGAAAGATATCTAAGTGAAAAAAACAAGTACAGAGCAAAATAAGTATAAAAACAGAATCCTATTTGTTTAAAAAATACATACACACACAGTTTACATATATTATGTATATGATATACATTGTATGTGTATATATGTAAATATTTGCATATATTATATATTTATGCATTTATTGTGCATATATATGCACAATAAATGCATAAATATATAATATATGATATACATTGTATGTGTATATATGTAAATATTTGCATATATTATATATTTATGCATTTATTGTGCATATATATATATGCACAATAAATGCATAAATATATAATATATATCTTTTGAAAGATGTATGTTAACTTAGAAGTAGATGTTACTCCTGATGAATGGGACTGAGAATTCAAAGTAGAAAAAAGGGGGAGACTTTTAAAATTCATTTTCTATCTTTGCATATTATTTTTAAATTTTACCAAGATAAGGATTCTTTTATGCTCTTCTAATGTGAAAACCTAGTTTAGAAATTAAGCATCTGCCAGATATCTGGCAGTTTCCATAATTAACTGTCCTTTCTTTAAATAAGTAAGGAAGATAATCACCAGAGCAGATCTACCCTGAGAGACAGGGAAAGTGGAATACAGTCGTCTCAAGTTGTGCACCAATCTGCCTTTTATCCCCCTGTTAGTCAATGCCATCCTAGCGACAACAGTGCTGCAGCACTTGGCCCTCAGGAAAGGAAATGGGTGTATTTGTGACTTGACAAGTCAAATATTGTCACCTCCCTCCAGAGTGAAGAAGTTCGCTTGTTACTGACATTTGTCTCCATTTGGTTTCACTATTGTCAACATTATCATCTGCCAACAATGATACTGCCCACTGAGGACAGAAACCTTAAATGTAGCTGTGGCACTGAACACTAAAAATGCAATGGCCCTCTGAGACTGCATCTTCCTTATTTCAAAATGTGCAAGACAAAAAAAGAAAAGTTTATCCAATATCCGGATATTTATGATCATCCAAATGTTTGATATGATGCAAACCTCTGGTTCTGGTAGAAGTTCTGGGAGCCATTCCCTGCACCCTCTTGTAGGTATCTCCAAGTGCTACAAAAAGCCTGGTTCAGCGGTTCTCAAAGTGTGGTCCCCAGACCAGCAGCACTAGCATCTTGTTAGAACTTTAGATTCTTGGGCCCCAACCCAGACCTATGTCCCTGGAAGGGTGTGGGTGGACCCAGCAATCTGTGTTTTAACAAACCCTACAAGCAATTCTGATGCTACTAATGTTGGAGAACTGCTGGCCTAGTCCTGTGGTCGGCAAACTGCGGCTTGTGAACCACATGCGGTTCTTTGGACCCTTGAATGTGGCTCTTCCACAAAATACTACGACCTGGGCTAGTCTACTTGGAGAAGTGGTGTTAGAAGTTTAAGTTTAAAAAATATGGCTCTCAAAAGAAATTTCAGTCATTGTACTGTTGATATTTGGCTCTGTTGACTAAGAGTTTGCTGACCACTGGCCTAGTCTAACAAGGGTTTTAGGCAAAACCTTCTGAATAGTTACAATGCTGCTAAGGATAGGTTTATACTGTCTTTCTTGGGTCTTGTCCATACATTTAGGGACAAACTAATATTTTTACAATAACTTCCTCCATGTCTATCTTTAGTGTTTGTGCATATTGTTTTTACACTGACCCATATCATTGAACAGTTGCTGGAGGAAAAATAGAAACCAATACTTTTTAGTTGTTCCATATGAAAGAAAATCACAATATTTGTTTTTCACCAAATTCTTTATCAGTTTAAATGTTCTCTGTGATGCATTTAATAGTGAACATGCCTCGAGGCTACTACCTCTTATGGTCATAGAGAAGATAAAACATGGATCTTGAGAATAATAAAATCGCTCCTACCTTCCATGAGTAAGATGGAGAAGTCCTTTAAGACTGTGACAGTACTCGCCAACACCAGGACAGAAAACACAAATGTGCAAATTGAATCGGCCATTTTATAGTCTGGCTGGAAAATATAGGGGCTTTGGTTAACTGAATGTGTGTCTCCTTTGAAGAAAGTCTGATGAATAAAATCTGTAAACCTTCCTGTTTCCTTCCCTCTCTATCACTCTTTCACCCCTACTTCACATCCAACTTGACACCTGATATCCAACTCAGAGGCAACTTTCTGAAGACTCAATCTTTCTTCTAAGTCAGGGGTGGGGAACCTTTTTTTTTTTCCTGCCAATGACTGTTTGGATATTTATAATATCATTGGAGGGCCATACAAAATTATCAACTTAAAAATTAGCCTGCTATATTTGGTCAAACATTTAATTAGCTCACCCCTAATGCCTCGATAGGGCTGAACCTAATGATTTGGGGTCTTATACAGCCCTCAAGCCAGATGTTCCCCACAACTGTTTTAAGCTTTACACTACCAGTGATGGAAGAAGAGAGACTACAGGGCATACTCTCCCATCATTTAAGAAGTGAAGGGAGAGATATTCTTGAATATTTTCTCAAGAGGCCTGATTTGACTTCTCAGAAACGGAACAGAAGTACAGAGTTTGCGATGAGCTGACTTTTCAGCCTTAATTATGATGAGAAGAAGGCCTGTCATCTGCTGAGAGGTTGCATATGCCCAAGGTACAGCTGGAGCTTGGTCTTGGCAGACTGGGGTTAGTGTGGTTTATTTTCCCCTTCTAAGTATGACACATGCTCGAGACAGGCATCTTTGATCCAATCCTAAGAGTACAAGCTGAGGCCTCATTCTTGCCTCTCTGGCCCCTGAAACCCTTAGCCTCAGGGTGAAACACCTGCGACTTTGCCTCTGATGCAGTTTGGGCATCAGAGAAGTCTGCCTCATTATCTCTAAGAAACCTAACCTTTATAAGCATATTGTCAAACTCAACTAACCCATACAATTTTTGAACTATTTTTCCTTAAACTTAAAGCTTGCAGAGAGCATTTGCTCAATTGAATTCAGATATGTTTTTGTAATTTGTATTTACGTGTTTTCACTTTTAGTAAAATTAATGTAGAGTCCCTACTAACTGGGCGGTCATGATAGAACCAAGGTAAATGCTTGTCTCCATTACCTCCCGCCTCCACTCTCACCACCCCTGTTGGTTCTCAGTACTACCAAATGCAGAGCTGCAATGCATATTTTTTTAGGGCCAGAGGCCCACCCAGAGCCATTCCCACTTTCTAGGAACACGCTGACCTTTGGGAGCAAGTTACCTCTCCCCCATTGTGGGTGATATTGTGGGACATTCAGGTGTTCTACCCTCCCCTGGCCAAGCAGCAGGTACAAGACCCATGCTAGGCTCCTTTCCCAGAAATATGAATCTTTAGCGTAATGATAAGAAATTGGAAAAAAATGAGTTGAGTCATATTCATTTCAGTTTGGTGTCTGGTACAGAAGTTGGATAATTTCTGAAATCTATATAACAAAAGTGACCCTTATTTGTATCTTGATTTTACTCTGGAGTACATCCAATAAATTTCAGCCAATAATATATATAAATAATATATGTATATTATATATATAATTATACATATATAATTATATATAACTTTATTTTTACATATATTTTATTTATTTGTTTTTGCTTAAGTGAGCTAGAGATTTTTTCTGTTGCTTACAACCCAAGATCTCTAAGATATTTATGGTTCCATTGTAGTGCATATTGACCCAATGACAAAAGGAACTACTTTCTTAAAAGACTGGAAGCCCTGCGATTAAAGACAGAGCTCTTAAGAATTTGGAAAGTCCAAGGTTTTCAGGCTTTAAATGTTTATTTGTTTCTTTGTTTAAAATTTGCACAGTTATGTGTTTAGGAAAAAAATAGTCTCTCCACCCTCCTTTCAGTTAATTTTGGAGGACCCATTTTTATATTCCTTGGTATATAAAATCGCTATGATTGTGAGTTAAATCAAACATACTCACCTTGAAGTAGATGATAAGTGCACTGGTTAACACACTGATGCTCTGAAACAGGTCCCCAAGGGCATGCACAAAAGCAGCTCTGACACTGGCATTAGCTTGCACTTCCTTGTGACTGTGGCCTGGAGGCCTCTGGTGCAAAATCACACTTAGTCTGCACAAGAGAACAGTGTTCTCAGCACACGGGACATTAACCCTTAAACACCTACCTGGCACAACGGAAGAGTTAACAGCAGCATATATTATCCAAATTGACAGGTGATTAAAATATTCAGGTTTTAAGATAAACTCATTTGGACTAATTTTGAACACAAGTGGATCATAGCATTTTCAACTTTTCACAAAAGGGCAGACAAGGAAGATTCACCTCAGTTTTCATTTCCACCTGCCTAATGCCCTCCTTTCACATTAAAACTGGAAAGCATCACTATGAAAGCCAAATATTTTACAATGAGGAGGGGAAGTATCATTGAGGGTCTACTTACTGTCAGGTCCTGAGCTAAGCTTAAGGCTGAACTTTGATAGGAGCTCAATTAAATGTCCTAGTTTCAAATGCAAAAAGCAGCAGAAAGGAGTGAAACAAAATAAGTAGTGAGTTTCATCAGGGCTAGATTCTTTTATCTTTTCCTTTACTTAATTTTTTTCATTTACATAAGAATTTGAAATGTGAATAACTGTAATGGCCAATGATGAGCACACTGTGTGTATGTATATGTAGCTATTTATCCAGGGAGCAAAATATATTTAAAAATTACAAATGTATTGCAAAATTGAACATTTCCTATCTAAATCAAAGTGTTAAGTAGTAGCCATTATAAATTATGCACCCTGATTCTATTTATCTACAACTTCAAGAGGTATTAGACCAAAGGCAAAAGGAGAACTTTTTTTTTTACTGGTGGCCAACAAGGAGTGTTTTGCCTAGAAACTTCTCTTGTACATTTTGTAACAGAGGTTTTAAAGAAGTATTGTTTAGTACCACGTACCCTTATTTTCAGAAAAGTGTCAACTCTCAGGCCATCATCACTACCTGAACTGACTGGTGTCCACCGGGATTTGCTTTTGACATAATGTTTACTCTTTAGACCACATGTGTCAAACACAAGGCCCGCGGGCCAAATCCGTCCCGCCAGGCCTTGCAATGTGGCCCGCACCGCGCTGTCATCACTGCACTCCGCTGCGTTTCCATCACAATGACAGTTTATGACTGTTCAGTAAACCATTCGGCCCGCGATTTAGGCTGGATTTTAGATTTTGGCCCCTTCTCTGATTGAGTTCGACACCCCTACTTTAGACTGTCAATGTTTCGGCAGAAATTGAGCCTCAATTCGAAGCTACCATTTCGGTGTCTTCAGACAGCCTTCCATGGCTGGCAGTTGCTAGACTCTCTAGGTCTGCTAGGTGTGCTCATCATGTTGTCATTCATTCTTTCACTCACTCATTTTATAAAAAAAAGAAGAAGAAGAAAAACGTACTTAGGGACCCATGTGTACTAGGCACTGTTAAATGTTTAGGGGCATAAGAGTAAGTGAAAGCAGACATGGTCCCTCCCCATTGTGGCTTCAAGCATGAAGGAGATGCAGAGAATTTAAAAAGACACACGCACACATACATGGAAAGTTCTGATTATAATAAGCCTACTAAGAACCAGTGCTACAGATAGTCAAACAGGGAGTCTGGTTTAGTTAGCAAGACAAAGCAATTGAGTTGGACGTGAAATGTTAGAGTGAGGCTAGGAGGGGAGGGAATGTTCAGGCAGGGAAAATTTTGCATGCAATGGCCTTAAGGCTCTGTCAATACTTTTCATCCTGGAATCCTTTTACAACCTGTCTTATAACTTTTTGTCCTGATTTTGAGTCCCCAAGGAATACATTTATTCCCAAATTGTGGTTGTCTATTCAGACAACACAGCCTCTACCTGTGCTTGGAACCTGTAATCCCAGTTCTGGGAGGAAACATTATAGTCACTCAGTAGCCTTGCCCATTAATAACTACCTGCTTGCACAGGGAAGTCAAAGCTTTTTAATTCCCTTGTCTTTCTGAGCACCTTAAAATTAAGGTCAAAGTTCAACAGCATTTGCAGTAAAAAGAAGATGTGGATGGTATCTGTTTAAAAGTCAAACTCAATCACGGAGGGTCCAGATTTATGTGGTAGTTAGCTTGGGGCACCCTTCATCTTTGTGTAACATCGATACAATTATGTGCCATATGACTTGGGAAATTATTAATATTTTTGTTCTTCCTGCTGCCTTGTAGACATGTTGTTCTCCTAGGCAAAGATGATGTTATTGATCCCCGGTCAGCAGGACACATGTTCTGGCTTGTCTCCTAGTGGTGACAGATTGGGATTGATCTCCCAATGCCAATGTGAAACACATTTTCAATATAACTAGGCGGAAATAGGGATCTAGTCAGTTACAGCAGATGAAATATCACTCTTCTAATTGTTTAGCTCAGAGACTTTTGCAATGGTTTGCAAACTATGAGGTGAGGAACAAAGGTAGGCACAAAGTAAGGGTACTGGAGGGACCGGAGGAGCTTTCTCTAAGTGTGCGTGCTCAGCTTTTCCTCTCTTTCCAGAGAACCACTGTGCCCTCTCTTTAAAAACACTATTTAAGATGCCATTCTCCTATCACTGTCTTCTTCATTCTCTTGTGTAATCCTATTGCAATGTATCACGTGGCATTGCAAGATAGACCAGCAGATGATGCCTAGATAGTGTATGAGTTCCCTATTGCTGCTGTAACAAATTACCACAAGCCTTTCTAGCTTAGAACAACACACATTTATTATCTTATCCAACCTTTGGAGGTCAGAAATCTAAAATGAGTGCACAAGACAGCATTCCTTCCAAGGTTTTAGGGGAGAACACACTTTCTTACCTTTTCCAGCCCCTAGATGTCAGTTACATTCCTTCATCTTCAAAGCCAGCATGCAGCATCTCCTCTCCTCTCTGGCCTGATGCTTCCCTTCTATAAGGACCTTTGTGGTGACATTGGGCCTATCTGGATAATTCAGGATAATCTCCCCATCTCAAGATCCATCTTTAATTTAATTACATTTTAAAAATTTCTTTTGTCATGTAAGGTAACATATTTAGAAGTGCTAAGCCTTAGAGTGTGGAAATTTTTGAGGGACCATTGTTCTCTCTACCACAGATGATACAGATAGATGGACAGACATACAGATGGTTTTAAATAGATACAAATAGATAGTTTTAAATAGGGCTGTCCAAAATTATTTTGGCAAATGAGAAGGAGCAAATCAACCAAAAGGATCAAAGTCCTGGACTTAAAACTCCATTATCATAGCAATCAAGTAGTTCATTTGGGGAAGAGCAGACAAATATGGCAGTGATAAAATGTCCAGTAGGACATGATCACACATCCCATAAGAGTAATTTAAGGCTACCTGGTTAAGGCAATGAACCAACAGGTAGAATATAAAGAGTTTAGCTAACATAGCTTAAGGTAGAATTTTTATATAGTCAAAATATTACAAATATATGGTAGAGTGCTTATGAGAGAAATAAATTCTGCTGTTAGTTCTGTTAAAATATATGAAACTAATGACCATGAAATGGATGTTGCAAGAGAGAATTACAAAGTAGAAAGGGGACTAAAGTAAATAAACTTTAAGATCCCTTCCAATCCAGCTGTGTGGGAAGCCATAATATGTCTCTGTAATAAAAACTGAGTAGAAGTAAGTCACATCCCATGGAGAACCATCAATATGCAAGAGAGAGTAGAACGGCTAGGACCCCATTCTGAGTATGGTGGGTCTGATTCAGATCCTGGCTCTACACCTTCTCACTGGCAATTCCTTTAACCTTGCTGAGCTTGTTTTCCAATCTGGAAAGTAGGGATGTTGTGAACACAGGGCTGGATAATGTAGATCAAAAGATCAAATCACAGTCCCTGACACATAAAAAGCATTCAAAATGGTAGCTATTAGGAGCCGATATGAAAATACTAAAATGAGCACAACCAACCTTCTTTCAGTCATAGAACCATTTGAGCACTCTGTCAGGTCTCTGCCATCCTCACAAGTGGAGGAATTGAACACAAGCAACAAGAACAAACACGCATCTGAGTCCAGACAGGGTTAAAGGCAAGCTTCCTGGGCAGTGTGAGGAGTGACTTACACAATGTTGGCTGCCACAGCACAGCCCGAAACGATGATCATCACAGTGGCCTGGATCTGGTAATCAGGGTACAGCAGGCGCTCACAGGCCAGGTACACCAGCACACCAGTCACTGCCCAGACACATAGCATGGACAGCAGGGCCCCGAGGATCTCTAAGGATGCAAGCACACAAAGCATTCATGAATCACCTTAACATCCCCAGGAGTCATGAGACATTAATGTTCTTTCCCCCTCACAAAAGAAGCTTTACACTAGTTCACTCTAACTCACAAAGCAAAACTGTGGAATGATTTTAGCACTAAGGCAAGCTACTTTCGCGTTGCATTTATAAAACACCAGGATCTGACTTCCTTTGCTCCATGTTACTCGGTAATTTGCAACAAATTTTAAAAGCGTATTATTTGTTGCCCTCGCTTGCTGTTTTCCTTGGGGATTTTAATTTAATCAGGTGCTAAAATGATTGAAACTTATTAGGAGATGAAACAATGAGACACATAGAGTAAAAGGTATTTAGAAACTCTTAATTTTGCCATGAAACACTGACAGCGTGCCAGTACCAGTAGCTTCTATGGATTAAAACAGTAAAAAAGGAAGGCTTGAGAGGGCACTTGAAAAATGATTTTCATTTGCCAGCCCAGCATCCTATAAACACAGAGGTGCGCTCAGAGGTATATCGACCCTCTAGATGCATTTTAAGAGCAACAGTAAGGAAAAGAAACATAGGATGTGGCATTTGCATTAACATTTCAAGATAAGATAGTGTTCAATGTGCCCACTGAGTCAAGTATATTTGCTCACTTAGGAGTTCCTTAATGCCTCACCCGGATCTGCAACTCAGTCTTGAAGGTGGATTCAGGTTCTGGGAACATTCTGTGAGTCAGGGGTCAGGCACATTCATAGTTTTTACCTCCTCCTTTAAGCAGGCCCCTGTAGCCTGTTGTTTCTCATTGTGGAGGAGCGTTTCCCAGACTTTAGTCACTTGTATACAATCATCACAACTTTTGCCATATCCACATGCCACCTGTCCCATTAGACATTTAATATTCTCTTTAAATAAATTCACTTTTTGTACTTAGCTTCTTCCTAAACAAAGGCATTCATGAAATGACAGGCCTGATGTTCTAGTTGATGTCCACCTCTTTGTCTGTAGTGGTACTGCCTAGTACGTTAGCCATCCATCACCTGTGGCTGTTTACAGTGAAAATAAGTAAAATTAAAGACCCAGTCCATCAGTAGCACTGGCCATGTATTAGAGTGTTCCGTGGCCACGGGTACTCTATTCCAGAACGTCTCCCTGGGGGCAGAGTTCGATTGGGCAGCACTGGTCCTCTGGTGTGTCAATGCTCATGAACATTCATGGCCAGGATGAGAAAGTCCAAGCAAGATTTGAAATTACGAGTCCCTCTTATGTTTACAAATCATCCCATGTTTACAAAACAGCTCTGGCCAATGGTATCTGAAAGGGTAAAGTATGGCGGGCACATGATGCATTACACAGATCTTGTTACATAGAGACCCACACCTGAAATCTGTATGTCCATGTGGACCAATCAATTTAATAAATAATTTTTTTTTTTTAAAAAGGGTAAAGTACGGGTACAAATTTATACAGACAGATAGCTGGTGCTCAGCCAAAAGTATAAGCATAGCTCTATTGGGGGACTGGGAAAGCAGCTTCAGATCACACTCTTTTTATCATCGTTTATTGCCTTATCTCCCTCTCCCGCTGGTTATTAAAGGAAGGCAATTCAAACCACCCCCTGGTGGCCTGATCGCAATGGTTCAGGGGTTGAGTATTGACCTATGAACCAGGGGTCATGGGTTTGATTCCCAGTAGGAGCACATGCTCGGGTTGCAGGCTCAGTCCTTACTAGGGGATGTATAGGAGGCAAGCAATCAATGATTCTCTCTCATCAATGATGTTTCTCTCTCTCTTCCTCTCTGAAATAAATTTAAAGAAATAGGTTTTATAAAAGTATCTTTAAAAAAACAAACAAAAAAATACATCCTGATGGTAAATTGTTTGGTATGAAGGAAGAACTTCCTTTCGCTCTTAGCTTGTAAACCTACAGCCCACAGTTGCCAGCTGTGGCCTGTGCCTGGCGGCACCTTTCAACAAAGCCCGCCCACGTCAGCATGTTGGCCACCCCTGCCCTTCCTTGCCCTGCCCTCCGTTCTCCTTCACCTTCTATCCCTGACTCCCCCGTGAGAAGTTCTTCCATCTCTGCAACGTTTTTGTGCTGTTTGTACCTTATCTTGCAAAATGCTAGGAGCTTCCCAGATACAGAGTAACTTCATGAATGCTATCATGGCTTCGCCCTACACTGAGACCCTGGGGCTGGGGTGGTTGCATGTGTCCCTATTGTCCCATCGGACCAGAGGTAGGCGATTAATCTGGCCTTTAGCTGAATTAGCATAGAGAACACAGGTTCCCACCCCATGTCTAACTCACCCCTCACACCAGAGATGTGCCTCAGGAGTTTTCCAGCAAGACCGCTTTGTCCCTTTTGGTTCTACCCTGGGTTTGACTCTGAGGCACACCACCGCCACCACGAGCGCTCCGTCGGTGAACTGTACCTGCTCGGTGCCATCCGAAGGTCAGCCGCTTGGAGGGAGGCTTGGAGGACAGCCACAGGGAGAAGAGGCTGAGCAGGAAACTAGTCAGGTCAATCAAGAGGTGGGCAGCATCTGTGATGACAGCAAGACTCCCAGCAACGTGGCCACCTGGGGGTGCACAGTGTCACACGGGGTGAGGATATGATGCCCCGCACAAGGGTTCCCAACCCACCAAGGGTCCCCAACTCATAATGGGAAGTCAGCCTGGAAGGGGGGGTTGGGGACCCTTGTGTGGGGCACAACTGGATTCGTATGTACTAACCCGAGTTGGTGAAATGCCACAGACCCCAGAGCTTTAGAAGACACATCAGCATTGATCCAATTGGCCACCTCTTCTTCCCAATTTGACAGGTAAAGAAACAGAGACCCAGAGAATAGGTAGGATTTGAACATATAGAAATGAATGTCAAGGGCAAGGCCATTCCTAAGGGGTAAAGATACAGAGACTGGAGAGTGTGGGCATTCTCTGGGATCATCCCGGTTAGACTGGGACATGAGGATTCAGACAGGGCAATGCAAAACAATGAGGCTGCAGAGGGAAAGCCAGATTCACAGGGCCTCGCCCTCCAACTGGGGACCTGGACTTCCGTCTGCAAACCAGATGATAGATACAATGACCCCCGGATGGGTTTTTATTTATATCCTTGCCTTGTGATTTTACCATAGTCTTTACTGCTTCTGTCTTCTCTACTAATTGGCATTATCCACCTGAGTTTGAGACCCCTGTGAGGAATAGGGGGGACAGGAAGGGGAAAGGACAGGCACTTTCTAAAGGGACTACTGACTGTAACCGTCCAGGGAAGCATAGGAAAAGAAGCCACGCCTCGGAGGCCCGCCTGGCTGTTCTCTCTGTTCCCTAGGCTCCCTCTGCTTCCCTCTAGATCTCTTTTAAGCAGAGACCCTCCAGCCTCCAAAGTGGAAGCCACAGGAAAGCCTTGTCTCTTTCTTCCCGAGCAGAGCTTGTTGTTTGAGAGCAGTAGCCTTTATTACTTTCCACCGCGTCTTCCCAGCAAAGAGCTTTAGTCCTCCCCGCGGCTGTTTATTGCCTCCTGCACTAAAAAGCGACGGCGGCTGTCAGTCATCAGCCCTCGGTCATCAGACTCACCTTGTCGGCTAATGATTTTCCAAAATTACATATATGGCTCATAATTGCAATCATCCCCCACAGACTGCTGGCTCTCGCAGCAGTTAATAACGGGTTTGTCAAAGTTTAATGGTCTGAGGGAAAGGAGTCTTCAAGCTTGTTACTGAGCTGTCAGTGCAAAAATCACAATGATTCATTAGCCAAAAAGTAACATTTTGCTAACAAATCAGCTGTCCTTCCAATTACCCTGAAATGTTGCTCTATCTGCCAAACTGGGGCCTGATAATGAAGCTGTGCTGCCAATGCATTAGTTCTTGCCCGGGAAATGACTGCAGGCAGATAAGCAGCACGCCACCATCTCAGCAATGAGTGATGACGGTGATTCCATGTGCTGAGCTGAAATCGTAGCCCAAGTCAAGAAAATGAGGTCTTATGGGGTTTCTTCAAGAGGCTCCGCTGAGTCAGGAGGCAACTGAGAAAGAAAAATGGCCTGGCTTTCGAAGACGCATGTTAATAGGGGGGTTCTGGAAACCAAGATCCATTCTGCGACCATCAGAACTACTTTTAAGAACCATCCACAAAATTGTGAGCAATCATGATGAGCGGCTGTGGAGCAAATTGTTTGCAAGAGGTAGTTTGCAACTGAACTTGCATTTGCTTCTGAATGCATGGGGTGTGACTGACAGTTAATTCAATGGTCCCATCGGTATTTGTTGAGCCCTCACTGTGCTCGGTGCAGGAAGAGGATACACACAGATAAAAGTTTTAAAATCCCAGTCTCCCCCAACCTACACGGCTCAGTGGTGGTTGAGTGTCAACCTATGAACCAGGAGGTCACAACTTGATTCCTGGTCAAGGCACATGCCCAACATGTTGTGGGATCAATCCCTAGTGAGGATGTGCAGGAGGCAGCCAGTCAATGACTCTGACACTCTCTCTCTCTCTCTCTTTCTCTCTCTCTCTCTTTCTCTCTCTCTCTTCCTCTCTTCCTCCCTCCTTCTTCTCTTCCTCCCTCCCTCTCTGAAATCAATAAAAAAAAAGAAATAGAAAAAACAAACAAAAATATTGCAAGACCTCTTTTCTGTAATCTTACATTACTAACACTCATTGTGCTGAAGATATGCATGACAAATAGACTAGAAGAATAAAAAGCCACTCCCACTGGGAGTTTTGGGGAACTTTTCACAGGAGAGAGGGGAAGAATTAGCTAGAAGAGGAGGGTTTCTCAGGGAGAGGTAATAATAGGAATGAGAACAGAGAGAAGTGGAAGAGCATGGAACCTTCCTGGGAAAGAAGGAGATGTGCATTGTTGGAGGAATAACGGGAAATCAGATGGCAGACCCACCAGCTCTCTCAGTCTCTCCAGGCAAGGCTGGTATTGACTACTGCGGGACCACAGCAATAATCAGGTGCTGCCCATTGAGGCCCCTTCATCCGAAAGGCCCTCTCATCTCCCTCTTAGCCACCTTTCAATGTCTACCCTTCCCTCAAGGATTTGCTCAAATCCCATATCCCGCAGGAGTGATCTGAGAATAATAATTGCTTTCTCTGACGTGGTCAAAATGGCTTTAGGGAGGAAGTGAGCTGTGGGCTGGGCTCTTGAATCATGGCCAGTGTTTTGATGAGTGTGGGGGATGAAGGAAAGTGTTTTTTCATTCAAATGAGAAGGCATACGCCAAAGCTACAGAGATATTGTGGTAGAATGATTATTCTTGCATTCAGTGAATAAATGGCTGAAACAGAAAGCCATGAAGGGAAGTAGTAAAGGAAGGAGACTGATAGTCTGTTTGGCAGCCAGATGGTGGAATGACTTGAAAGGCAAAGTAAAAGTTTTTCATTTTGTCCAGAATGCCAGAGCTCCTCAAAATATTGTTCACTCTCACTTGGGGCTTAGCACAGAGGGATACCCTAAACCAGGCTATTGTTGCCACAGGTATTCCTGCCAGTTTACCTCGGTGCCCAGTAAAAATTCCTACATCTGCCATGATGGGGAAAGGTTGTGAAGGGCTGAACTAGGCAACGGGGAGCCAGAGAAGAATTTTGAAGACAGAATCAACATGATGAGAACAATGTTTTAGGGAAATCTGCTCAAAATAAATACAGCTCAAATTCCAAATGTCTCTCAGTATCCACTTAATTTCATTACTGACATCACTTCCCTCTGACTCTGAAAGGCACATTAGAACTCATAGACCAGTTATCCAGGAATGAGAATATAGCTTCCCAATTTCCCCCTAAAAATGCAAGTCATCTTTCTTAAAAGCATAGTGATAGATTATACTAATGGGTATAAGGAGAAAAGTGAGTTTGTTTTTTTAATGAAATAATCGTCCATTCTCAGATGGTTATTAATTTTTTTCTCTATTACCCAAAATTAATAACCATCTGAGAATGGATGATTATTCCATTAGCATCTGCTAAGCTATTTTTCCCACTCTAATGGCTGGCAATCAGAATTAATTGTTTTCTTCAAGCTATGCAGTCTTATGGCCTATGTATTCAGACTTTTATTGCTTTTCAAAACTGGAAAAGAACTTAGACTTATCCAGTCCAAGACAAATCCAGGGTTTTTAATAACCTTCTTCCAGTTGGTTTACAAAAATTATTGATAGCACACAATTTCTAAAGCCAGGGTATGTCTTTTGAAGGAACTGACTTAATAGCTTGTGGAGTAGCAAATAATTTACTTGTAACAGTTCCAACCTGGAAAACGCCCTGCGGACACCCACCGACACATTTGCCAAAGGAATATTCTTTTTCATTATTGAAATTCATAAAGTTTTGGACAATATTGCATTGTTCTTGAAAGAGACTGACAAAATGGAAAATCTGAAAAACAGAACCCATTGGAAATGCGATTTGAAAAGGTGATGTCTGGAAATTCACATCCTTCCCATAAAGTCCTGGCACCGCCCCATGGCCAACGCAGCTCAGGAAGATATAGAGACTGGCTTGTTTCCTCCACTACTTTTTGCTTCTGCTTCTTCGCTGATCCGTGTGGATGCTGAGACTCAATGGCATCTTCTCCCCAGCTGATGTCTAATCAGTAGTCTGAAGCAAGATGGTCTTTCATTCACAAAACTCACTTTTCTCCTTATGCCCCTTCTTAAAATCACAATTAGGTTTTGGAGAAACCCAAACAAAATGATTCCCGTGCTTAATTAAAATAATAAACTAAAATAAATTATGTTTGTCTTTTTTTCTGTTAAACAAGGAATAATAAAGGAAGAATAAGAGATCATGTAACATAAAAATTTGCATCAATTAAATGTGTTACTACTGACAAGAACCAGCAACAGGAATCATGAAATACCTTAGAACCAAACCCTATTGTTTATAAAAATTTGATAAATGATATAAGAAGCATCAAAAATCAATGGAGAAAATAATTGTTTCATAAATGATACTGGAAACATTGTTAGCTGTTTAGAAAAAAAGATTTTTTTTTCAATTCTTAGAATATATCTACTTTCACATTGATTGGAAACTGAACAACAAAGGGGTATTTATCTTCTCAGTCCCTGGGAAGGCTTACTAAATTGGTTAAAGAGTAGTTTAAAAATAAAATGTTTGATACAATTATCTATATAAAATTTTAAACTTTTCTATGTCAAACCAAAAATTAAACAAAAATTAAAAAGCAAACAAAAAGCAGAAAAAATACTAACAAACATAACAAAAGTTTAATATCCTAATATATAAAGAGCTCCCAGAGATCAATATAGCTAATTATAAGTTATCTAAAAAGTAGACATTAAGAAGCCACCAGGAATGCATTTCAGGGAAATACAGATCACTAATAAGCATGCAAAAAAAAAATATCCTAGCACTAATGGGAGTTAAAATAAAGCATATTCATTTATATATTAACAAAGATTTCTAAAAGATTAAAATAAGTTCTAGTAAAGATTGGAGAGAAATCATTTTCATGCAGACCTGGCAGACATAGGAATTGTTTTAAGCTTTCTGGATAGCAGTTTGGCAACATGTATCAAGAAGTAATAAAAATATTCATGTCTTTCAACCAACTATTTCTATTTTTAGGTCTCTCTTTAAAGGGATTAACCAGAAAGGCAGGCAGAGTTTTATTCAAGATTTTTTATTGCAGCATTGTCCATAAACAGGGGGGGGGGGGGGGGATCCCTAAATTTCTAACAATGGAAAGATGGTTCTTTAAATCACAGTGGAGTGTACATTGTTCAAGCGTGAAAGTATTTTAAGAGCATTTGATGGCATGGTCAGAAGCATTTAGTGTGCTCTCGGCTGTGCTGAAAAACTGAGCTATGAATAGAAAATATATTGTATGGAAATACTTCATAATTTTATTGGCAGTTACCACTCTACTGTGGGATAGTGATGAATGTTGTTACATTTCCTTCTATTTTCCAACGTATCTACAATGAGCACATTGTTACTTCATACTTATAGAAAAGGTTAACTCTCACTTTAAAAGAAGAACCGAGATCACCCTCCTGTATTTATGTAGGATTTCGTTTGCTTGTTTAATCAGAGGAGCTTCCTTGAGAAATACTCACCAACAACCTCTGCAATCATGAAGACAAAGCATATTCCCGAAGCAGCCCAGAGTTTCCACTTGGCGTAGACTTGCTCGTTTGCCCTGTTCTCTGTGGCCTTGGCATTGCCATGACAGTGATAGATGGCTCCCGACCCCAGCTCCTCTGGCCTCTCTCCAGAACAGTGATCTTTATTCACAGTTTTCTGCTGGCGATCCACACTGCGCATGAGTTTGACAGAAGCAAGAAATGAACATGGCTGCAAACACCACTGACAGCCCTACCCATTCTCTGAACCACTGTGAGGACATTTGCTAGCTGTCTAGAAAGTTGTAATGCACAGCTCCTTCTATAAGAAATATCAAGTGTAAGGAACAAGCAACTACTTGAAGTCTCAACTACTAAACGTTTTGCTCTTATTCAGCCATACTCTTCTTCAGTCTCTACTACCAGTGATTAAGAGATATTAAAGGAACAGGAGATAGGAAGCAGATACATTTCCTTCCCAATAACTTCATTCGAAAAAGATATTGGATATCTTTTCATTTGGAAAAGATATTGGATACTGTCCCACAAATCAAAAAAGGAGTAGGAACATTGTTAGATATGTGTCTATGAGCCAACTGATGATTCAGATTCCCACTATTGCATGCCATCACTGTCATCTTCTTCTCCACAACAACATTGTTAATAGATCTTAGCAGTTTTTCCTGCTAAGTCCATATGGTCCCTCAGAAACGGTCTTAACACAGCATTGCTCACAATCTCTACCAATCCATGGAAGTTGAGACTTACTTATACTTCCTATAGCACAAAGTACATATCAGGTCTGCTAGCTCTGCTCACACAGAAATCATTATTTAGAGCCTTTTATTATAGATTTATAGAAGTTCACAGATGCAAAGATTATAGATAACATTTAGTCCAACCCCATAGTTTCTTGGCTGAAATAATTAAGGTTCAGAGAGGTTAAGTAATTGCCTGAGGACAAATAGCCAGGAAATTGCAGAGCTGGGATTCCAAAACTTCCTATTTTTTCCAGGTCATCCCACTCTGCTTCCCTACCTGAACTTCAGTAAATTAAAAACCAATCTTTACTGATGCAAATGTTGATGTTCAAAGATCTTGAATTAATCAGATTTAATTTTTAAATAAACTTATTAGAAGCATTAATAAGATTATTAGAATTAAGATTATTTGTATTCATGACTTTGAAAGGTATAAAAACAGAAATAAATTAGCCTCCCGTTGAAGAGCTATTTCATTTGTCTTATCGCCAGCTGGAATTAAAGATCTGCAGTTTTCCGCTTATAGGTAGATGATGATTTTGATTCTGACTCTAATTATCATTATACTTATTTTTTTCTGAATAAAAGAATATATTTTTATAGAAAATTGGGAATTACAGAAAAGCACAGAGGAAAATCACTGGTAACCTTAGGCATAAACCATCACTATGGACATGTTGTTTAACTTTGTAATATACAAATACACTTTTGTGCATAATTAGAAACCATATTAGGATGTTTTTATTGCAAGCTCATGCTAGGTTAATCAATAAGTGGAGACCATTGGTTGTGAAAATGAAAATGTCTGGAGGAAGTGGGCTTCAGAATGGTTTATCAGGGCTCTGGATCCATTGCTTTAGTTCTAACTGTGCTTCAGGCGGTTTTCCTCATGCTAGTGGGATGGTTGCCCAAGACAGTCAGGGCCACACACTTGCTGTTTCTTATGCAAGGAATGAAAGTGTCCTTATTTCCAACTGCTGAACAAGAGTTTTAAGTTGCATGCTGTGCTGAATTGGCCAAATGAAAACCAACCCTAGACCCAGAGGAATATGGATGTGCTGATTGGCTCGGACCTTGTTCCAATCAGAATATTGGCTAAACCCAGTCATGCTGTCTCCTGGAGCTGAGAATGGGGTAAATACTACTAAATCACATGGTTGCAACTCAGTGAGGATGGGCCAGAATGGATTGTGGATGACATGACTGTGTCACCAGAGGATCCTCCCAAAGATACAGCTTTGGGACCTGAATCTTAGCTGTATTTATTGTTAACATTGCTCAACTTATTAAATATCCTGCATCATTACTTTTAACTTGTAGAGATTGTTATATTTAATATAGCTGTGTCACAACCTAATTAACTGAATTCCTATTATTGAACAATTCATTTTTTTCTAATTATTTGCTCAGATAAGCAGCACTGTGATTCATATTGTTATAGTTAATCTTTGCTCAATATACTATCATCTGCTTAAAGTGTAATCCTAGACGGAAAATTGCTTGGTCAAAGAGTATCCATAATTTTAAGGACTTAGATGTATATTGCCAAGTTGACTTTGGAAGGTTTGTACCCATCACGTTAACAGCACCCAAGATTTTGAGCAATTCTGCAAACTCTTCATATTGCAGTAGGAACCACTTGGCAAGAAGCACATAAAGTATTTATACTTATACATCGTTGCCATGGTAATGTGATATATACCCTGATAACAAACAACTATATACTGTAATAGTGGGGTCCCCAATGGTCATCAACTCAAAAGACCCTGAGAAGGCAACATGAGCAAAACAGGGCCACCAATTGTTCTAGCACTGTTTATATGAGCACTGGTTTATTTTATATCTTCCATGAATCTCATGGCCGGAGAAAACCAGGTAGTAAGTGACCAGGAGAGAGAACTTAACTCTGGGCAGTTTAGAAGCCAGGAATCCCACCAGAGCACAGCTTATGGGCAATGCCACAAGGGAAAAATGCAAGAATGCTGACCAATTTTGACTTTTAAATACTGCTTTCCTGTAGACCTCAGATTCGGGGGTGTGCAAGAGGCAGCTGGTCAATGTTTCTCTCTCATCGACGTTTCTAACTCTCTATCCCTCTCAATTCATCTATGTATAAAATCAATAAAATATATTATAAATAAATAAATAATTCTAATAAGGAGGGATAATAGATGGGTTTGGTTCTTTGTCATATGTTTGCAAAGCAAAGTTATAGAATATCCTGAGAGAGAAAGCTTTTCTTTGCAGCTGCTCAGACAGTTGATTCTATTAAACATGATGTTGCTGCTCTTTGGAATGTTAATTTTATCCCATGAAACACACAGCACTATGTGTGTTATTAATGGATAACTATTTCCTTAACTTCTGTTCCTAGCATGAATGTATTTCAGATTTTCATTCTTTCATCTCTACGAATTGAGTTTCTCTTTGCTCCCCACTTGGATTGAATTCCCCAAATTCCCCAAATTGTGAAAACACACAAAATTCATTCTTGTAAGTCTCTGTCTTTACTCAGCAATATCCCCATCTAAACAACTTTCCTTAATCCTACTTCCTGTGTAAAGTTTCTCTAATCTTACTCTAATTCCCTTTATTTTTCAGTGCTCAACCTATCACTTCTGAAAAGCTTTCTCTGACTGCCATAGGCCAGCTAAGATCTAGGTTTCCTTGAGATATTCTCATTGAACACTCTCAGAATGACACTTACATGCTATTTTGTAATTGATTTTTTGCTTATATGTATTCCATATTAGACTCCAAGTTTCTAGAGGACAGAGATCTGGGACTAGGAATCTTTTCTTCTCCATTATATATCCAGGTGTGTTCAACCCATAATTTTTAAAAAAAAAAAAAAAGGAAAATGAATTAATATACTGCATATGGCACTGTGGGGGATATTCAAAGGAACTAGAACTATGTAGAACATTAAACTCAGTTCTTTTTATTACAGGTGTGTATATTCATTAATGATATTATATGATTAAAAAATAGCAAATAATTTTTATGCAAAGAGAAAAGCACTAAGTGTGGATGGAATAAGGGTAGAGGGATGAATTGGTAGAAGATGATGCAAGAGGTGGACAAATAATTTAAGATCAATGTAACTAAAGTTTTGTCACATCATTGAAAAGCCTCCCTCCTTACTAAATATAATGTAATAAAGTGTACTATCTATTTTTAAAGTAGAATTAATTGAGGAAAAGAAAGGCAAACACATTAGATTGTATATGTCTATTTTCTGGAAGGAAATCTGCAGATGGAAATACATTCACAAAGGGTGTCCTTCATTCTCTTAGGATACTTAAGACCCAAATCATGGAGAGTATTGCATATTTCAGGATATGAATTATACAAGTCTGCCAACAGTTTATAAAATTTTACAAAATGTTCCAAGTTGCACAGCAAAAGTTCCCAGCTTGAAGCTGTGGGATCTAGGGATGTATTGAGGATTGAAGACAGAAAGCCGTGAAGCAGAAACCAATAGCTGTTACCTGTCTAGTGTGAAGGCATACATCTTGGTGGCTTTGTCATTCACAAGATAAGCTCTTTCCGGAAACTCCATGGTGGCCAGGGTGAGAGCTCTTGCTGAGACTGAAGTATTGTTGTTGTTGTTGTTGTTGTTGCTCTCCTGTTGCTGTTTAACTCACTGGCCAGTTTGGAAAGCAAAGCAGCATTACAGGTATTCACACACGTCCCAACGAAAAAAATAAAAGGGCTTCCGGGACTTAAAAGAACAAGCCTCCTACATCAGTGTTCTTGTAGGTCTGCTAAACTCACAGCCTCCTGGAGTGCATCTGGCCTCATTCTCTCACCCACATTTTCCCTTCCTAGAGAGACGTGCAGAGAGGATCCATGAAGTGTGTGTGTGTGTGTGTGTGTGTGTGTGTGTGTGTGTGTTTCCCATGATATCTGATTCCATTGTGCTTTCTAAGAGGTGGAGGGCTCAGGGCTTCCTTCTAATTGCTGATGTAGAGATTTGGTCTTCAGAGCACACCTGAGTGATCTGCAAACAACTACCCTCAGTACAATAACCTCACTTTTTTTTTCCGTTCCTTTATTTTTTGGGGGGAGGGGAGGAGGGAGTGGGGGAGTCTCTTTCTCTGCCATTTAGTTCTTAGATGACCTCTAAGCAGCTGTCAGGATTGACTTGCCTTCTCCTAGGACCATTTTGGGACTCCAGTACTGAGCAGAGGACATGGGTCATTAGTCCCTGAAGTCTGTGGACTGAACCCGTTCCTGATGCGGCAGCTTTGAAACCCTTTGACAGGCAGGAGGAGGGCAGACTCAGCTTCTAAGTAAACAACAGCTCTCAGCCATACAAGAACCAGAATGACCTGTGTTCTCCTCAGCCAGCACCCTCTGCTGAGGATAAAAGTAAACCCTGCCAACCAAACCAATCCCAACTCCTAGGAAAGGAGTTTCCTGAGCTGATCCCAGACACCTTCAACCACAGACTCCTGGGAATGAACATTTGATTTTACTACAAGGAACTTTGCTTTCCAAATAAGAAATTATATAGCCCCAGGGGAATAGCCTGGTGAAATGGCAGGCCTTTGTATGTGGGCCAAAGAGTGTCTGTCCAGAGCCTGTAGGGATGCATGCAGGATGGGCAGTGCTGAGTGGGAAATGGGGCGTGAACCCGACCATGGGGTCCTTTCTTTCTTCTCCCTCTGTCAACACTCACTTCTAGTGAGAAAACGAAGAGTAGTGTGGTCCAGGGTAGCCCAGTGGCCCAGCATCCTGACAGTTTGTCCATCTTGATGAGCACAGACCTCAATGACCTAATACAATAAATATTGTCCCCAGAAGGAGAGTGGGACTCAATGGCATTTGCAACAGCCAGTGAGGGGGAGAGTCATCTTTGGCTGAGACGGAGAAGGCAGGCTTCCTATCACCTCTGTGGTGGAGCTGTGCCACTTCTGTGATATTCAAACCCTGTATTATTAATTCTATGGGGCCTGGCCGCCCTGGCTCAGTGGTTGAGCGTCAATTTATGAACCAGGAGGTCAAGGTTTGGCTCGATTCCCAGTCAGGACACATGCCAGGGTTGTAAGCTGGATCTCCAGTAGGAGGCATGCAGGAGGTAGCCCATCAAAGATTCTTTCTCATGATTGATCTATCTCTCCCTCTCCCTTCTCTCTGAAACCAATAAAAATATATTTTTTTAGAAAAATTAATTCTATGGTCTTTTCATAGGACCCATTGCCAAAAAGATAATTAACTTTGCTCTGACACATGGATATGAGAGAAATGGCTCTGAGAGGACATTTTTCCTTGCCGTACAAGTTCTGAGTCTTGTGTTTGCAGAATAAAAAAACGAACTAATTCCTTCTCAAGTACTTTGCAAAATAATACTTTATTCTGGAAAGGCAAAAGTAAGAAACCAGAAAAGAATTATGCATCCATTGCCACATGTTACAGCGTGAATCATTTGTGAGTAGTTTCTAGCACATGTGAGAGAAATGGAATTCAGGTGAATGAATGTCAAAAATGGAGAAAACTGCTTAAAATTGGGTTGAAATCCATTAAGGATAAGTGCACAGAAATATTTACATCTGTGTGTGATTCTGCAAGGATGGAGATACTATGTTGTTAAAATTAGTTGCTTATTGAGGCAAGGATAGAGGGAGGATCGATGAGAAGGGTCAGGTAAGACTGACAGGGTAAGGTGGAAAGGGGAAAAAAGGGCATGGGGACTCAAGTAAAAAGACAAGAATATAAAATATTGTGCCCCAAAATCTATCATCTCTCCTATTTATGTGTAAGTTGAACTATATACATTGCAATTTTTAGTACCAGTATGACCTACAATAAGCAATTTCATGTCATTGAACTTAAATATATATTTACACATGTCTACACACATCTAAATGTATACATGTACATGTATGATACAGTTAAAAGAAAAAATAAATCTGCATATTTTCAAGTATTGGAAAACTAAGTACTATTTTCAGCAAAGGTTTGTGAATTTCCAAGTGCTTCCCTTGAAGATAACTACTTTATTATAAATCAAAGCTTCCAATGTAAGTAGCATAAAAGTTAGGGAATAAGGGATGATGGCAAATAAACTTTATGGTTAAAAAAATGCAAGTTTTGCTGCTGCAGTAAATTTAAATGTAGATCAGTTTTGATTGAGGATTGCCTGCATGCTACATTATGTAAAATATTCATCTGTTGATTACCTTATCCTCTCACAAGCTCATTTTAATGACACCATTATCCACTTCTCCCCCATGTATTGTCAGCACAATGTTTATGAAAACTACCCCATCCTTCCTGACTCACCTCTGGCCCACTTTGGCATGCACTGCCAACCAAGGGCTAATGGCCCTAATCAGACTCCACAAGAGTCAACAAAATTTGTATTTGGAAAGCAACACAGATCATAAAAGCACATCCCCTCTCTTGTTCACAGTCAGTTTGGGTTGGCATTGTGCTGCTCATCCCAGTTTCCTAGGCAACCAGCTTCCAACCCATCCTGAATTACAGGTTGTCCTTTCCACCCACTCTCCATCACAAGCTTGTAGCAACTGAAGGGGCAAAATGCAATTTATAGCTGTTCCCTCTGGGAATAAATATTCTGTCAGCCACAAGAACATCACATCCCTGGCACAACCCAGAGCTAGTTGTGCTCTCCAGTGCTAGCTACTGTCAGCAACAGTTTCTTAATAGGACTTTAAGAACAGTAACCCCATACAGAAATAAGTTACACGGGTGTCTTAGCTTGTTTGACAATTCACTTGCAAAAAGGATGTGTGTATTTGTACAAAGTCACTGATCGTCCCTAGTCATTAAAGTACCAAGTTTTATGATTTGCATTCACAAAACTTAAACTCATATTTCAGAAATAAGAATTATGTGCTTTCATGTAACTCTCCTTTAAGAGGAGACATGAAAATGTGCTTGTTTCTAAATAATGTGGATTTTTCATCCTTTTTGTTTCTTTCTTATTTGTGAGGAGCGATAGGTAGTACAGTGAGGTGGCTTAATGCCAGCACATGGGCTTTCAAATTAGACTTAGTTTTAGTCTCTGTTTTGACCACTGCCTTACATGTGTGACCTTGAACAGGTTACCTGACCTCAGTGGTCTTCAGTTTCTCATCTGTAAAATGGGTGCATTAGTAGAATCCATCTTAGAGAGTTCTTGTCAAAAATGAAGGTGATGCACATAAAAGTGCTTAGCAGAGTTATCTGGCATATAACCCATTTTATATACAAGTGAGTTGCTACAGACTTAGTCCTGTCTAAGTAAAATGGCTTAGCTGTCCCTGAGAAATTGATCCCAGTCTTAGCAGAAGACTAAGAATTATCCAAGGCTAGAAGGATCCAACAAGGAGTAGAATTATTGAAGAAGGCCTGGGCATTTTAACCTGCCATCAGCCATATGAAGTGGGTAGGTACCTCACTTTGGGATCAACTTTCTAAAATAGTAGATTTGTTCCTGCTTCATCCCATCCACTTAGCAGTAGAATGCTATTCAACATGTGTCTGCATTAACTGGCACAACAGGAGATGAAATGCAAACTCAGTGTAGTTGCCTGCTAAAGATTCTGTATGCATGCACTCCCACACAGACTATAAAGATCCCCTTTCTAAGTTAGGTAGCATTTCCTTATGAAGGTGGTTTTATGGTTATTATTACTGTGTGAGGTTTTTCAAAAGCTCCATTCAGGAGCTTGAAAACAAAGACATTGGAAATTTAATTGGATTGTATTTTAAAGAACACTATGAAAATTTCATTTTAATCTAAAGTCAACATGTATAAAACATAAAGCATTCCCTGATATTTCATACTCTACTTGAAAATGAAATGAAAGTCATCTGAATTTTATTTTCTTTTTGATAAATTGGCACTATATAACTCTCTTTTTTTCCCCCACTTTGATTTTTAAAGAGATTAAGCTGTAGAAATGTTCCAGTGCAAATATAATTTGTATTTGTTGAAAAAAATAAAGACTTGATAAAATATTGATACTAAAACAATAAAAGAAAGATTTTATTAAGCCTGATAGATGCAAATAAATAATAAGAAAATAAACTCACAGTTGTTTTTTTTGTTTTTGGTGAGGGAAAAATATTAGGGCTGGGTATTTAAAATGTTTATGAAGTATATATTTGATTGATTAGCATCCATGTGCTGAACTTCCTTTGCCAAGAACTCTGCAAACTTGAACTAACTAAGCTTTAAATGCACCCTCTGAGCTAGAAATGCTTGCCTGTGTCTTGCAAACTCCAAAGCAGTATTCTACTGTGCATGTCCCTGTTTTATTTACATTGCCAAGCTAAAGAGGGTTCCAAGATCCTAAGCCATGATTTTTAGGCATTGGAATAAGAAACAGAAACAAAAACCTACTTTCAAATAGTCCATCACCTTGATCTGCAAATGCACAGAGCATCACTCAAAACAAAAGCACTGGATTCCCGAATTTAAAAAAGAGAGTCCTCTTGTTGTTATCTGCAATGGCACCAATTAATTTCCATTGGTACAGTTTATTTCCTTTAGTGCACAGCCTTGAGGGGCCCATAATTCCTCTTAGGAGAAAGATTTTCACAGCAAGTCGCTTCTCTGAATCTTGAAGCCTGGATTTGTTTGATTCTAGCCTGACAAGACTGCCTCTCAAGAGAGATAGTCCAGGAGACAAGACAAAAGCCGCCCGGAAGCTTTCTCCTGAAAGACTCAGCTATTGCTTTTCATGTCAAACCCAAGATGTATCAAAGCAGCTGGGTTCTCTGCTTGGAAGCACAACCACAAGGCATTGCAACCAATTCATCTCCTCTTTTGGTATTAGTGAATTTGCTTTCAGGGAGTCCCTCAGCTTACATGCTGCTAATCCAATTGTGGGAAATCTCATCCCCACCAACAAAGGATGAGATCTTTGAATTTGTATCTAATGCAAACATGTGAGGTATTATCGTACTTTTTATATCCTTAATCTCTCCACTCTACCACCCAGATATTGTTTAGTGAGATGGTGGGAGCTTCCGTTTTCTTCCCAGTCAGCTAACTCC